ACACAAAAGCATATAAGAAAAGATGCAAAGTATAATAAATCCTTGAAGACAATAAAAGCACACTAAAAAGATGTGCTGCATGTCCTAGCAGGTTTAGCTCAGTGGTTAGAGCATTGGCTCTTGGACTGAAGGATCCTGGGCTCAGCTTTGGTCAAGGCATGTACCTCAGTTGCAGGCTCGATCCCAGGTCTTGGTGGGGGCATATGCAGGAAGCAACCAATCACTGTGTCTCTCTCACATTGATGTTTCTCTATGTCTCTCCCTCTCTCTTCCACTCTCTCTAAAATCAATGGATGCAAAATTATGTGCAATGTGTTAAAAGTGTTTGATACAATATTATTGTTTTCTTATATTTTTTACATTTTTGCATAATTTTTTCTGAAACTAGTATTTGAGTATTCATGACTACAATGTCAATTTTGGATTATATATTTTATTGATAAAATAAGTTTTGCCTTCTTTAAAAATAAATAAATAAAATAAAGTCATGGATCCAATGAGGATTAACAGCAACAAAAAAAGATGTAGCACAAAATAAATGCAAACTGCAACCTAGCATTTCAAAACGAGCTAAAAGAAATTAAGAAAATGATAGACTACATAAAACAATGTAAGTCAGAATTTAAAATATTGATAAATGAAGTGATAAAACTGAGAAAACAATTAGACATTTTTAAAAAAAGAACCATTATTTCCAAAACAAAGCAAGAAAGAATGTAGCGAGCGCCTGGGAAGGCGCATGAGCTGATAGTTGGCTGAATCCGGGCGTAGGCAGAGCCATGTCCTGGAAACATGCCTTGCCAGAGGCAGGTATGTTGTCAGCCTGACCTTCAGCTCAGGCGTCAGGGGGTGGGTTTCATTATCTAAGTCCAGCAGGAACAGACACAAATATCCAGGCTCAGCCAGGAGTGACAATTACAAAGAAGCCACAAGAATGAAGAATTACAGCTTGATCTTTAACCATGATTTCACATAATTTCTTTTGTTTTAAACTCTAGTAAAACTTCCTGGTATCATGCTGTATGTAATAAACGTGCTGCACTAGCTCTGGGTCACCGTCTCTGCATCTGAGGGCAGCGTCTCACCTGGCCCCAGCTATACTTAAAGTCTTTGTGTCTGTCTCTTTTTTTTCTTTTTCCCAATCCCCAGCCGCCCCTACTCAGGACTCGTCCACTCTCTAGCCGTGCTAGTGGTGGCCAAGAGAGAAAACTTATAAAAGAACATAAGAGCAAACAAGCAAAGCACATAATGCCTTAAGAGAAATAGAGGGGTAGGGAGGAGTTTAAAGAATAAAAAAGAAAGAAAAGGGGATATATATATATATATATATATATATACACACACACACACACACTAATAAAAGAGAAAGATGCGAATTGACCATACCTTCACAACGCCCACCAGCCAATCAGGAGTAAGTATGCAAATTAACCCAACAAAGATGGCCAGTTAACTTGCATACACAGGCGCCGACTGCCCCAGCTGCTCTGGGCCTCTGGGCAGTGTGGGAAGGTGGAAAGGCAGCTCTGGGCCAGAGCGAAGGCAGTGCCGACAGCCAGGGGAAGGAAGGCCCATTCTTGCATGAATCTTCATGCATCAGGCCTCTAGTATACATATATTAGACAAAGATAATCCAACATACAAATCCAACATACAAATATTAAGAGTACTCAAAGAAGAAAGGTTTACAATTCAAGAAAACCGTCTTGAAATTAGAAAGAAAGAAGAAAAAGAAGGTCTGGAAAGTACAGATAAAAGCAGACTGTGACCCGGGAGAATTGACTGAGCACGGCCTCCACTACACCCAGAGTGAGTCAGGAACGCATTCAGAGAAAGGATGCACGGAGAGTCCTTTGTATAAGCTGCTGCCTCTTGCCCCTCAAGATGAAAGAGAGGGACTGCCTGGGACCTTCTGCTGTGACCCTTTGGGGGCCGGGAGACCCAGTAGAGACGGGGGCACAAAACATGGAGGGTGGGAGAGATGGGAGAATGGGTTTCTTTGGTGGTGAAGTGAAGTTGCTTCTGTGTCCCTAGAGGCACCGTCCTCCTCTCCAATGGCCAGTCAAATTCTGGGAGGATATTATTGAGGACCAGATGCAGATAGCATGAGAGAGAGAGAGAGAGAGAGAGAGAGAGAGAGAGAGAGAGAGAGAGAACACCAGCCTGGAGCCATTGTAAACCCTACCCAAACAGAGTCCCTTAAGGGATGAGGGACTCTGACCGCTAGTTCCTGGGTAGCACAGACCCCTGCAGAGCCAGGGCCAGAGAGGGGCAGTGGTCAGGGGAAAGGAAGGTCTCACAGCATCACCAGAGTTGCAGTCAGGGGGGCCAGGTAGGGGACTTCAAAGAACCCAAGAAAGTTCCTAAGAGAAAAAGTCAGCTTAAAATTAGGAAACAGAAGAAGAGGAGCAACTCTGAGGGGCCATCATAACAGGGGTCCAGGCTGAGGAAAGAAAGATGTAATCAGTTCAGAGTTTTGATAATTTTTAGGCACTGGACTTTTTAATTTCAGAATCGATACTGCTTTTGCTATTTAAAGGGACCAAAAGCCCTTTGGTATCCTAAGAGGGAGTCCACATGCTATGGGGCCTGCCCAGAGAGCCAGTGTTTACTCAGGAAAGAGGAAAATTTCACCCACTAAAAAAAAATTATAAAGGAAGACAAAAATAAATTTGCATTTATATGATACTCAAAAGTTGAACTTGTTCAACATACTGTCTGCACAGTCTTGCTTTGGGTTTCTATCACTCATTACAGAAAATCTACTACACTTACTTAGTAAATGAGTAAAACTTTGGAGCCAGCAGTGGTCTCTCCTCTGGGTTACTGTCTCTTCCATTTCACAGAAGAGATAGATAAGGCAGAGAGAACTCAGGATTGTTTTATCCAAGGGACCCTTTTGAGTTGGGAATGTAGACAGTCAATATCCAACTCCATAAACTTGCTTTATTAGCTTACCCTCATTCCTCTACTGAGCACCTTCCATATGAAAACACTGGGATTTGCCCTAGTCAGTTTTGCTCAGTGGATAGTGCATCAGCCTGTGGACTGAAGGGTCCTGAGTTCGATTCCCGGCAAGGGCAATCGATTTCCAGTAAGCGGTGTGCAGACGGCAGCCCATCAATGATTTTCATCATTGATGTTTCTATCTCTCTCCCCCTCTCCTTCTCCCTTCCTCTATGAAATTAATAAAAAAAATATTAAAAAAGAAAGCACTGGGGTTTGCCTAGAATATTCAGATCCATCACCCACAGGCCCTGTTTTCAAGGACAGGCGTACAATACCATGAAGGGGAAAGCCACACGCATAACTCTCTAGACTAGAGGAAAAATAAAAGGGCTGGGATAGATTGGCAGAGAGTGTCACTGACCCCGCCCATGGCTCTATGCATGGGGAGGGTGCTGGAGCTTCCTGCATGGACGACCCACCTGTCTTCTGTGAGGCTGACTCTTCCTGGGAAGTGTGAGAAAATGTCGCTAGTCTGCTCTGCTTTCCACAGCAAGAAGTTTTCGCTGGGCTGGGAGGATGACAGGCAGCTGCTTTCAGGCTGGATGGAGAAATTTGCAGTTAGAGGATCAGGTCTCCCCCTCACCGTTCTTGGCCTCCTCCGGCCAGAACCTTGAAGGAACTCACTTGAGTCTTCCAGCCGAGTCCTGGGAACCGGTTCCTTAAATATTAAGCCCCAGCATCACCAGACAAAAGCAATGAGGCCCCATGAAGGATCACCTCCTCTCTCTGATGGGCCGCTGTGGCCACTCTGCCCAGAGCACCAGATATGAACATTAAGAACCAGAGCCGTAGAACTATAAAAGCTGACTTTTGAAGTCGGTGATGGCGTACCTAAAGCACACAACTTAAATGAAAGGAGGAAAGTGTTTAGGAGCCGGAAATCTGAAGGTTTTAGGCCTCTCTTTCCTGTGCTTCTGCCCTAAGCAGGTCCCGAGA